AAATGCCTAAATGTTGTCCTGCATTTTTAGTTTTATTTATTTCCTTAATCCTAAATATCTGAATTTGGTTCTTATCCTTAAAAAAATTTTGCATGTCAAAAAATTAAAAAATAAATTTACCTAAAATAATCCCACCTTTCATTTATTTTCTAAAAATATGTATTTTCAAAAAATCCTGTTTAGTGGCCGTTAGTTTTTTAACGGCGGCCCAAAACTTGCACACATGCAGAAAGGTGAGATTAATTTATATTTGTTTAATATTCTGAAGTTTGCAATGTGACTAAAACGCCTATCATGTATATATACGATATGTTTTTGTATTCACCACCTCCATTAAATCCAGCATTTTCATCGCATATTAGGTTATACGTCTATTCTTTGAGTTCATTCCTTTATTTAATTTAATTGAATATTTTCTCTTTTATTATTTAAAAGGAGCATCACAGGGTCCAAATTTGACGATATTGCTACGTGTTGATGGGACATTGGATACTCATGGAAGCTTTATATTGTGGCAGTGTAGATATATTTTGGCAGTGTAGATATATTGTGGCAATGTATATATTGTGGCATTATATTTCAGACATTGAATTTTTGGCGGTGCATATATTGTGGCAGTGTATTTCAGACATTGAATTTTTGGAAGTACATATTGTGGCTAACATTATGGCAATGTATATATTGTGGCAGTGTATATATTGTGGCAGTGTATTATATTATATCTATTCTCTTAATCTCTGAGTAGTTTTTCTCTCATTTTACAACACGTTATCAACATGAATTTGCTCAAAAATCTCAGAATCCTTGTTCTTCTCAGAAGGTATATTTATTTAATTTTCTTCATAAACAAACTAAAATATTTTCTTGGAAACTATGAGAAGTATGCTCTGTGATTGCCCGAATTGTGGCAGTGTAGATATATTGTGGCAGTGTATATATTGTGGCATTGTATTTCAGACATTAAATTTTTGACAGTGCATATATTGTGGCAGTATATTTCAAACATTGAATTTTTGGAAGTACATATTGTGGCTAACACTATGGCAGTGTATATATTGTGGCAGTGTAGATATATTGTGGCAGTGTATATATTGTGGCAGTGTATATACTGTGGCAGTGTATATATAATACAAATTTGTTTAATTAAGGGTAATATTGGGAATTCATCTCAAAAACTTATAGCACTGCTATTTTGCGTATTATAAGCCTATTAAAGTGCTATATTCGTATTTCTCCCTAAATTACTCCCTCCTTCCCATTTAAATTGTCTGTTTTCTTTTTTTTCTGTCCCAAAATAAGTTGATTGTTTGTTATAATAATAAACTTTTAAGTGTAAAATACTTAAACTACTTCTAAAATAAGTGACTCCTCTCCACCTTATCTTCTCATTCATCGTCACCACCGTAAAAAAAAGGCATTTTTGAAAAGTCAACACCATTTTTTTCCTTCTTTAAGTATGTCCCAAAGTCAAAAAGGACAATATAAAATGGAACGGAGGGAGTATCATGTATACTTAATATCATGAAACATAATATTTAAATATTATAATTTTATAATCCATATATACTACTGTCTTTATTCTTGAATATTTGTCCAATTTTGACTTTATATAATCTACCATTTTTAACCTTCAACTTTTACTTTAAAAAATATTCTAATTTTCACTCCTCTTTTCACCAACATATTACTCCCCTCTCTAGGCACGAACAAATCACTCCCCGCGCTAGATCTCCAGCGCCCCAATCAACCGCTACACGCTCGATCTCCTGCACCATTTCCTCCCAATTTTCTTATTATTGGGTTGGTTTGATTCAAAAATTACGATTGGTTTCATCCCATGAAAATACTTTTTTTTGAAGAAAAGTTTCCTTACCAAACAAGGAAAAATTTGGAGTGAAAATATATTCCATTGGAACAAAACACACCGTAAAAAAGAAAAAATTGAGCTGGAGATTTTGGATTTGAAGACTACATAAAAATCCATCCGGTTTCTGCAAGAGAACAGACTTGAAAGTTCTGAACATAGTATTAAACCAAGACCTCCCACCCCATGTGAGAAGTGTTCGGGAGATCACACTGTACTGGGTACATATGTTGCATGTAAAATAAAGGAGGATGCAGTTGAAGGGAGAAAATGAAAGAAAAAAGGAGCTCTTGCTATGGGGGGAAAAAACCTGTGGCAAAATAATACTATTTTCAATAGAAATATTTTCTCAGTGTTTACAGTAATGCATTGTTAATTTCTTTGCAGCATTGCATACTGAGTTTTAAAGACAAAAGAAAGGATACTCGTCTCCGTAGATTGAGATGATAAAAGTGCTGAAAGAAACACACGTACGGAAGCTTCAAACCAATACATGCCACAAACGCCCCTGACTGCAACTATTTTCTGATCTATAGAATCAATCTATTTTCTGGACTTTTTGGCTTTTCTGGACTTAGCGGATTTGGATTTGTCGAGTTTTGGTTCCTCTGTTTTGCTCTCTGGCCTGATATCAATAGTAAGAAAATGATTTGGTTAATGAAAAGTAATACCAATGAACTATTGAAGAAGGCCCTTTCACCAGAGAGAGGGCTAAACATTATGTTGCAGCCGAGTTCCAAAATCCCAATTAGGACGGTATTATCCAACTGATTTGGAAGACAGTTTATGTTTAACAATAATGGATTTAAAAATAAATATGAAAATAGGATCATGAGTTAAAAAGCACTCACGCAATATCCTGACCCAAAACTTTCAAAGCCTCTTTGATAGCATACAGTGTCATCTTCTTCACCTGTATATCAAGGTGAATATCAGGTTTAGCCAGACATCGTGGATGTCAACTCAAAAAACATTTCTTACAAATAATAATAATGATAATGATGATGATGATGATCCAGCAGAGCTTAAGAGCAAAGCGAAGATCTACCAGTAATCTGAGACGATTCAGTCTTTCAGGTGTGGATTCAATTCAAGTTTCAAATGTAAAGACCATCTTATTTCTGTTTCTATAACATACGTAATAATAATAATAATAATAATAATAATAATAATGACATTTAAATCAATCAACTAAACTTGATGCAGAATAGAAAGAATATTGAAATTACAATAACTAGTGGTTTTGTGTTCCCAGGTGAAATAATAAGACTATATATATATATATATATATATATATATATATATATATATATATATATGTATATATATATCTATATATATATATATATACACTCTTTCTATCCCACATAAGTTTTTCCACGTGTGTAGTATTGTATTTGGTTCATGCATATCTAACATTGAGAAAAAACTCAAGAATTAAATCTAAGGCCCGCATAGAATAGAAGCCCAAAAATTAGATCAGGGAAGTGGTTATATAATGAGCAAAGCAGGAAAAACAAAAAACCCTTAGCAAGCCGCCCCAGAAGTAGAGATAATTTTGGGAGATGATCGATTCTGTGACTCTTTTCTTCTCTCTTTTTTTTACTTTTTCTTCTTTCGCACTTTTTCCTCTTTCCTATTCAACTAGGTCGGACACTTTCTCTTCTTGTCGATTATATCTTCTCCCTCATCGGTGTCGTCCAAGCCGATTAGGAAATGGGAGAAGCGTCTCCCCGACGTGTCCCAGCATTTATTTAAATTTTAATTTAAAGAAACGCCACCTGGAGTCTCCGAGACGTCTCCCACGCGTTTCCGCGTGTCCAAGGTCTCTGATACAGATATGGCAGGCTACCTGGCGTTTCCGTGCAACATAGATTATGTCCAATGAAAATGGGAAAAGAAGCCATATACATAGAGGGAAATGCCATCATACCTCCAGTTTATCTTCCTTAGCCCGATGGTTTGGAGGGAGCAGGCGGAACTCCTCCGTCATTCGAATACACTCCCCAACATTCTCAGGTGAGACAAAATCAAGGGCAACTTTTATACAGGACTGCAAAAGGTTCAAACAATGAGATACTGAACAACCATGAACATTCATAAAAGTAGTTCAATTGAGTCTTACTGCTTTTGACTATAGCATGAGTCAAATTCTAATTAAAAAAAACATAGCGAGTAACATGAAAACGAAGTTCTATTCACATAAATGATTTATTCCAAGCAAATCAATCACACACATGCCTAAACATGCAACCCTAGTTATAGAGAAGGCACATATCAAATTATTCAAATCTGCAAACTTGCTATGCTGCCAAGGCCCAAGGCCCAAGCTTTAGCACAATTATACAAGACAGGAACATATTGTCAATTTATTGCTGCTAAATTTGAATGTGCACCTAAGGTGTACAAGAATTATGGACCTTCTCACATAAGCAATAAAATATTACCCCCTCCGTCCCACAAAACATTTCCAGTTTGAAAAAAGGCGGGCTTTAAAAAAGTGTAATTTTGGTGTTATTTTCTGATTTTTAATCTTCTATCCTGCACATCATATCATACCATACTATAAAGGGAAAAATTAGAAAATAACACCAAAATTACACATTTTTAAAGTCCGTCTTTTTTCAACTCAGGGAATGTTTTGTGGGTCAGAGGGAATATATGATTGGAGTATTAATTTATTTTGTTACGACGGATGTAAGAAAGATAACAAACAATAAAGAAACGACAGGACTATATATATACACACACACACACACACACATATATATATATACACACGCACACACATATATAGATGTAGGTATGTATGTCGCCTAGTCGTCGCCTAGGCGATATGAAGGTACATTGGCGCCTCGCCTCGCCTTGCCGCCTTACAAAATATGATTACTTTGACAATATACTTTTTTAATGTTTTTTATACATTATGTTCTATCTTTAGTTTTAAATTGATTTGTGGATATTTTTCAATTTAAAAATTGAGGCTTACGCCTCAAAACGCCTTGAGGCTTACACAATACGCCATGAAAAGAAAACACCTCAAAAGCGCAATACGCAATTTCGAACATTGAATTATAGTATTATGTAGCGGACTATAGTCTACTTTATAAAGTCTAGCCAACCTCCATGTCTCAAAGATTCTTTTGGGGTGGACATACACGCAATTAACATACCAATTTGTTTTTCTATGATTCAGGCTATGCCTGTTTATTGTTTACACGCATGAGAATCAACCAATTGCTAAGAGGGGACTTGTTGAATATGCTATTGTAAAATAATAAAGAATGCTTAATTAATTTAGACATCTAGAGGAATACAAGGTAATGAATATATAGGTTGTTGGAGCATTCAAGAATTCTAATAAAAAATGGCTACATAAATAAGGTAGAATTGTATAGAAATAACTCTAGCTATAATAGGCAACAACCAAAATTATTATACTCCCTCCATCCCCCATGCATCTTCCCATTACGCTTTAAGGCTTGACCGACTTCATTTTCAATTCAATTTATTTGATTATATGTGTAAAATTTAATACTAAAATTTATATAGTAAAATACTACATGAAAAGTTTTTCAAAACAAGCGGTGACAAGACTATATTATTTAATGAAATGAGTAGTAAAAATAAGCAAACAAAGTGAGTTAAGTTTGACCATGTGAATAGTGTCTGAAAAGATCAATGGGGGACAGAGGGAATATATATTATTAAATATATTAAATAATTAATTTATTTAACGTGCTCTGAACATCCTGTGTGGTGAAGATTGAACACCAACTTTAACTTGAATCATTACCAAACTCATAATCAGAAGCTAGAGGCATATCTTGAGCTAGATTACTGGATACATCCGAGCTAAAAGAGAAGAAGAAAGATTACTGGAGAAGAGATGTGATGTGCCGGTGCCGAGGAGAGGAGAAGAGACTTTGGGACAGACTCTTGCTGCTGTTGTGTGCTGGAGTTGTGTGCGACTGGTTTAGAGAAGAAGCAAAATGAATGAGGTGCTGCGGCGGATGCCTGTTTACTGGCGATCTGCTGAATGACCATGCTGAGGTGCCGATCCGATCTGAAATCAAGAAGTGACGGTGATGGAGGGAGGAGCATGGCAGATGGTGATTAATTTGAGGATAAGGGACCTGGTGTGGGTTGGGTTCTCGAGGAGGGCCCTAGGCTGGTGAAGATTGAGAAGAGGTTGACATGAGAACTCTAAATTGCAAAGGTTTATGTCAACCTTTAGTGACGATCTGGATGGGGCGATTTGTGGTTGAAAAAGAGATTTTTGGTAGAGGGAATTAAAGAGCAATTAGAATCAAAGGAGGGACAAATGGGGGTGAGGCCGTTGTTGCCAGACAAACCGACGGTGACGACGCGGCAGAAGCGGAAAGTATAAGATCGCAAAGAGCAAAGATTTTTGTGGCTGCCAGCCATTGAGCACAAGAAGGTTGTGTATGTATTTGTTTGAGTAAAAATTTATTTAAACGAGAATAGTCGTTTGAGAAGAGTCATCGTGTAAAAACCAAAGGGATGTATTGGAAGAGTCATCGCCATTAATAACTATGGTATTATAGCATGGAGACAACATGAAAAGAATGACTTTATAGCAATTACTTGACTGGGAATTAAAATGGTGAAGGCAAGAACTAAAACGTAAATGGATATTATTGATTGCATACTACTAGAATTACTATTATGTACATTACACTCCCACCATCCTGGAGTATTTGTCTAGTTTCTTTTTTGCACAATGATCATGATGAGGAGCATTAGAAGTAAAAATGTCACAACTACCACGTACCCCTGAACTACCCAACCTCCCCATCGTATCCCTCCGCAAGCCCAACCCAAACGCTCTTGCTACCCCCGACCCCCCCTCCCTTAGTTGCATCCTTAAGCCGCCCAAACTCCCCAGCTGCATCCTTGAGCCACCCAACCTCACTAATCACGAGCCCATCCCAATGCTACAAAACACACAGGCACGCATGCACGCACGCACTCACGACGCACGCACACATGCACCCCACGCACGCACGCACACCCACACACACACACTCCCTCGGAGAGACGCATGTGGGCCCTCATGAAAGGAAAGCTGTGTATAAAGGAACTCCACGGCTTGAAATGCAGGTGAAGCAGAGGAAGGATTTGACAGGTAATCTTGACAGGATTGTAGTGATGAGTTGTTGAGGTAGCACCACTACTGGGTTATCATACTGGAACTAGAGTTGGAGAGCCTATTGCCACTAGCTTTGATTTGCCGGTTGCAAATTTGAAGGGCATGATTAGTTTTCTATCTTAATTGTTTTTGCCTAAAAAAAAAGTGGACAAATACTCTAGGACACTAGGACGTCCAAAAAAAATACTGTGCAAACATTTCGTGGCAGAGGGAGTAATATAAAACTTTGAAGCGGAGCGCAGGTGTTGATAAGAAAATGAAAACATGAACTAAAATAGATGTTTACCTTCAAATTTCGCACTTGATGTGGACACCCTGCAGGAATAAACACAGCATCTCCAAGTCCTTGAACAAATGTCCATGGTTCAATGCCTAAATATGCATAAATGATTGTCACTTGCATCAAAAAAAAATATACACTGAGGATGTATTTAATTTCAGTTTTACTTAATTCAATACAAATACCACTTAGTTGAATACTTCTTTGTTCACAATTACACTACAACCAATTCAGTATCATTTAGTTCAGTTGATTTCCATTCAATTTCATTCAGCTCTATTGAACATTTCCATCAGTTTTCTTAGTTTAGAACAATTGCTAATATGGCATGCATATCAGAGAGACATTAAAGAACCAGTACAGTACCATATTCCTTTTTAAGTTTTCTTTTGTGCTCCGAACACAAAAACATTGTCTGGTCATGAATTGGGTGGACAACCTGTATCGCCAAAAAATGTGTTTATGAGAAAATCGTATCCTTTATAAAAAGAATCTAACACAAAAATTGAACATAAGTAATAAGTTACAAACATAATACAAGCAGAAAACTAGAAAATGTTAAAATTTTCCGCACCATTTATAAAGTGAGTTAAGTTAAAAAGTTCTCAATGCATAGCCCTCTCCATAACAATGTACATTAATAGGGTGTGACTATATGTTACGCCCTCCGTCCTACAACGTCTTTCCCATTTCCTTTTTTCCCCATCCTAAAATTATCTTCCCCCACACCAAAAAAGGATGTCTAATGACCACAATACCTCTCAGCTTTAATTTTATGCCAACCACCCTTCAACTTCACATTTACGCCACTCACCTTATCTCTTTGGCTCCTCTCTCTAAACCGAGATCTATGTCTGGCCTTCTCTTCATCTCTCCTTCTCACCTTATCTCCATTTATCCTTCTCACCCTCTCCATCTCTCTATAAATTCCCTCTCCCATAATTCCTGAGATCTAATCTTCATCGCCCCACCTTCATATGGATTCCGCCAATTTTCATTATGAATCTCAGATCTCGAGACTGAGCTTCAGTTAAAGGGGATGAACTCTGAAGATCAGAGCTTTGAGGACAAATAGAGTGAAAGTGAGTCTGACGATGCAAACTCTGACTCTAGTCCTCTTCCATATGCCGGCATGTTCATCGCCGACACTGAATATGAGGAAAGCAAGATGGAGGATGAGCCCATGCAAGGCTTTGGGAGTAAATTGGATAAAGAGCAGCTACATGGCCGAGAGGAGGGGCAGGCCACAATCTGCTTGCCTAGTGTTGAGATGGGCAGCCACTCCAATGTCACCGATGCAAGGGTTGGCATGGTCGAAGCGATTCCAGGCTTGCTTTCCTACTGGGATTTCAAAGTGAAGTCCCTCATTCTTTTTTCTCTACTCTATGCGTTTTCATGAGTAATTGCAGACATTACACACAATTGTTAGAATATAAGAAATATTTCCTGGCCACAACCACAAGCTTGAGCTTTTAGTTGAGTTGGTTCCTTGACATGGTATTGGAGCCTTGTTGACTAAAGAGGTCACGGGTTCGAAACTCAATGCCACCCAATTTTAAAAAAATTAAGATTTCACGTGCAAGGCTTGAAAAAACTATGCATGCACGTGAGGGGGCATGTTAGAATATAAGAAATATTTCCTGGGTCACAACCACAAGCTTGAGCTTTTAGTTGAGTTGGTTCCTTGACAACAGTTACAGCCTCCCTAAGGCCCGCCTAAGGTGGTCGCCTTTCTTGCCTCAGGCGTTCACCTAGCTCGCCTTTCTCGCCTTTCTCGCCTCAATCACTGCCTTAAGGCTTTAGGATATACAATGCATAATATTTGCTGCTATATATTACTCCATTATATATATATATATATATATATGGGATTGACTCCAGTCAGATGACACCTTATGATAAGATGACATGCTGTGGTCTGATGACACAAAGCTCACCACTGATCACTGCAAAGCTCACCAAACTGTATGGAAAAGCTCACCAAGTTTTTTTCACACTTTGAATTTTTAAAATTTTAAAGTTTAAATCCTTACAAACCCTAACCAAAAAGCTCACCATTCTTCAATGCAAAGCTCACCGAAACATGCACACAAAGCTCCCCAAATTTTGAGGTTGAAAAATTGAAAAAAAAAATCAAAGGGTGACTCCACCACCATTGATCGGTGATTGGCAGTGGCGATTAGCGGTCAAATTCAGTGGTCGACATGGGTCAAAGTCAGCACCTCTTAGATTTTTTTTCAAAAAAAATTCTATGTGTGAAAAAAAATTGGTGAGCTTTGCCATACATTCTGGTGAGCTTTGCAGTTGGTCTACAGTTGGCAATGGTGAGCTTTGCGTCATCTGACCGTAGCATGTCATCTTACCATAAAGTGTCATGTGACTGGAGTCAATCCCTGTATGTATGTATGTATGTATGTATGTATGTACGTATGTATGTATATATATATTATTCAAACACAAAGAACCAGGTTAATACACGTTTAGGGGAGGACTAGACCAAAGCCCCCAATGGTAAAACTACAAGCCATACAACACGCAAGCCAAATCTGACATATCTTTAAAAACAAATAAAGACTAAGGGTTTGTTTGGTGAGTTTTGAAGATATGATAAGATATGAGTTTTAAATCCTGGAAGAAATGATATGGGCTTTAAAATCTGATTCAAATGCGTTTGGTGAGAACTGGGCATTGAGTATAAATAGGAGCAAGATAATAGGAGCAAGACAGACCAGATCCGCGGGTGCTCTTGGAGGGAGTCATCGTCAAATTTTATGATTTAAAAAGCAACAAGCAGTAATGTATATCATTTGGTAGATTAAGAAATACACTTTAATCGGAAGAGTTTAGCATGAGCATTAATTAAAGTCTCTCATCAAATTAGATCCCGGAGACGAAGTCACCACCACCACTGTCGCCGCCGTTCTTGGAGGCTGAGCCAACATCACCGACACTACTAGAGACACGACCTCCACCGCCAATGCTGAAGATAAGGCCGCCACCACTGCTGAAGACAGAGCTGCCGCCGTCGCCGCTCTTGCTAGAGACAGGGCTATCCCGTTGCTCCATCAGAAGGGGACCTAATGTTGGAGGAGAAGATGATTGGACCTTGATGCGTGGAGACATGGCTTTCCCGTCTTCTTATCTCCTTTGATTTTGATATCGGCACCTTCCCGATTTTTGATATCGGTGGACTAAAGCAGATATGAAGAAGTGGCAAGTTGGGAGACTTTCAATATCTCCAGATTTGAAACTCGAATTCCTTTTTTACTTCACCAAACACCAAATCTGGGAACTTGATATAGGAGATATCAAAACCCATATCTCTCTTTTTCACCAAACACATCCTAAGAGAAACAAAGAAAAGAGTGGAAGGCAGGCGTGGGATATATGTGAGAAATCAGCAGTGCGAGACCTCTCTAAACAAAAACAAACTAGCACTTAAGAGACAGCTCAAACCATTGGTCCAGCAAAAATCCAGTTTCCAAGAGTTGAGGACAGCATCTTTGATCATCCAATGTTTTCCTCTACGAGTGTAACTCAAATTGACCATATAGTAAAATACATACATACATACATACACACACGCACGCACACACACATATATACACACACACACATATGCATGTATGTTCGCTATTTGACCGTCCGCCTCTCACCATAAAAAAGGTCCTCTCACCGGCCCCTGGCCACTCACCATTAATAACTACGGTTACAGCACAAACACAACAATGATAAATATGCAATTAGTTCAAGTAGTTCATTGGGGTATATAATGTGAGTGGTAGTCAATGAAAACTTATTGGAGTACATTTTGAGTAGTTGTCGTGATGTTCAAACAAAAAAGTCAAGGTCTTACATACTCTTCACTACTTACAACCTGCATTTACAAAATTCAAAACCCAAAAAATCAATTTATCCAATCATTCACAAAAAAACAGAAAGTCTTGGTGTTATGGTGAACACTTAGTTCATCTCTGAAGATGAGAACTCCTCTCCAACTTTAGTCATGAACTTAGGCACCATTTCTGTTCACTTTGGCCACTGTCCTGACCAAGCACCCTTACTGTCTTCTCTAGCAATGTTTGGGGTACATCCAGACACAATGGTAGTGCTCCTTCTCTAGCCAACTTATCCTTTGCCATATGTGGTACCTTGTACATGTTCCCTCCCTCATCATTCAAGACTTCCTGCATCACATATTGGTGACTTAACCATACCTTGTTCATTTTCTAAGTTGTAAGGGCAGCATATGTACCCTAGCATATGCACCCCAAACTACTTCCACTAGCTGTAACACGTTTCTAGGAGCACACTGCTCTTTGAGTGATTGAATGGCTCTAAACAAACCCATGTCTAAAATGTTGAGGTCTGGGAGTTGCGGGGTTGGTTACTTAGTGTTCTGTTGAACCCATTTGCAATTGCTGCTACCATAAACTCTAGGTTTGTGCAGAAATCTAAGGCCTGGCATTATCTTGCTAGAGCACTATGTTTCTGCCTAAAAAAGAGGGCCATTTCTCTTAAATTGCAGGGATAACTTGGTTCACCAACATTTGTTTAGTCATGTTAGAGTGCCATCCCACATCGGAAATTCAAGAGCAAAATAATCGGTATATAAGCTCTTGAGTTGAACTAACTAATTGATTAAATTCAATCTTTTAATGTGGTTCAGCCCAAATCTCTTATTACCCAATCCAGTTGTCCACACCCAATCCTAAATTTATCATGCTATCGGAGCAGATTTTGGCCCACCTCATTTGTCAAGGTGTCCGTCTAGACGTTCATTCCTAGCGACCCACTAGTCTTTAGCCCAGTTGTGTGTTTGGAGTATGTACCCAACGGCCTGTGGCCCGTTTATCACGATTGCTTGTTTGGAAGTCCATACCCAGCAGCTCGTGGTCCTTTAGGTGTTGGCACTCAAAAAATTTTAAGGGAATGGTAGTTTATGTACAAGTGGTCAACCGGTTAGATTCAAAATGGCCCGGTTGTCCACTTGAGGGGGAGTGGAATGTCATCCCACATCGGAAGTTCAAGAGCAAAATAATCGGTATAAGCTCTTGAATTGAACTAACTAATCGATTGAATTCATTTTTAATGTGGTTCAGCCCAAGTTTTTTATTACCCAATCCAGTTGTCCACACCCAATCCTAAATTTATCAAGTCACTTCTTTTGTAACACAGAAACCGTACCTCTCCGTTCTTACTCTTCTTTTAGCTGCCACAGTTTCAACAAATGGGAATATTCCAATTTTTCCATCCCATAAAACCCTCTTATTTTCTGATACAAATGGTCAACCAACAACACATAAGAACATGACCTTAGTAATGAATTGCTTTGACTTGCATGTTTTGTAGGGATCCAATTTATCCTTGGCCAAATAATATTTATGTGATGTTTTTGACATAAAAAGTCATTTCTCATCCATGTGAAGAACATTATGAAAACTTTTAAACCTGGGGTTGCATAGAATGCTTGTGGGTTCTAACTGAGTCAAACAAAAGTGCAATCTTTGCAACATGTTTGTATCTGTTAAAAATGGTTTAATTGGATTCGAATATCTACTTAGCAAACCTCTTTTAATACAAAGATGGACAATAAATTTGGACATGCCAAGGGCAGCTGCCAAGGCTGTGATGTTTGTCCTTTGGGCTAGAGGAATGTTTGGGATGAACTCATTGTCTATGACCACTCTTTTCCTTCCAGTATGCACTGCAACTCTACTTTTGACATCAATAGCAACACCCTCATGTAATTATTTTCTAGCTCTGCTCCATATGTCACCAATGGATGTTCTTGAAACATTAAACTCTGCAGCAACCTTGTTGATTATCCTTTTCTGAGCTGTGTACTCACCTGATATTTTGTTTAATGTGGTAGGATTACTTCAACAATTCTTTTTCTTTCTGAGTTTGAAAGCCTTTTGCTGCTTGCTTAGTTTTGTCTTTGCAAATACTCATGACTGCCTGGACGGGAAAAAGGAGGAGGCTGTGTGAGAGGAGGATCGGTGAGAAGAGGGGGATCAGTGAGAAGAGGAGGCATGTGTGATGAAAAATTAGAAGAGATTGGGCTATTTATAGAGTAGGTTTTGGTGGTGTTTTTTTAGGGAAATGTTTAGAACTCCCCCTCCAGAATGCGATTTGCATCCTAATTTCTAATGTGTAATATACTACAACAACAACAACAACCCAGTTAAATCCCACAAGAGTAGGGTCTGGGGAGGGTGAGTAGGGTCTGGGGAGGGTGTGTGTACGCAGACCTTGCCCCTACTCGAAAGTAGAGAGGCTGTTTCCAAAGAGACCCCCGGCTCAACGTCGAAAGTTGCATTGCTTGACTAACTGCTACTTCATTAATTAAAGAAGCGCAGACAGTTTAGAGATCCATTTTGATTTATTCCATCACACCCCAAAGCCAAAAAATGGTGAAATTTTGGCTCCATCGGAGATGATGGAACTNTGAGTAGGGTCTGGGGAGGGTGTGTGTACGCAGACCTTGCCCCTACTCGAAAGTAGAGAGGCTGTTTCCAAAGAGACCCCCGGCTCAACGTCGAAAGTTGCATTGCTTGACTAACTGCTACTTCATTAATTAAAGAAGCGCAGACAGTTTAGAGATCCATTTTGATTTATTCCATCACACCCCAAAGCCAAAAAATGGTGAAATTTTGGCTCCATCGGAGATGATGGAACTAATGTGTAATATACTAAAATTCAGAAATTGGAATGCTTTATATCCAGGTACAATGAATCTGGAATAAATCTTTTGATGTGTTTTGGCTTGCCAGAATTTTTGCATGTGAAATGCCTTAGTTTTCTTTTCAAAGATTTTAAGGGGCAAAATTGGAAGTCAAAGCCAAAATTACCAATCCCTTAAAAAAGGGTTTTAGTCAAACCGGGAAAATCGTTTTAGGACGGAGGGAGTATTAAAGAAATAAAGAAACTGTAATATTGTATTCAGTCTACTACACAATAGCTATCGTTGTGTTTATGCACAAACCAATTATTTAGTTTTACCTACTGCGTGCTTTGGTTGAAACATTGACATTTCGAATTAAAGAACGAACCAGAGACAATAGAGTGCAATGAGAATTATTGGAATATACCTGGGGCACTTGATTGCAATGTATGTGCCTGAATTCCTTAAAGTGCCTCTTAAGGTATTCCATCAGCTTAGGAACATCCTCTCGGCGGAAAATATCCCAGAGTGCACCACCCTCAGCTACTTCCAGCGACTTACTGCGAGAATATGCAGATGTTCCAGCATTACCAATGCTGCAACTTTCAACTACATTTGAATCATTACTGATTTTCTCGGATACCCCCAAAGATTCAGTCATAACTAACCCAGGATATTCATCAACGTTATCCTGTTGACATAGATGCATTGTCTCAATACTATCATCTTTTTCACACACACTTTCACCACTAGACGAGCCAGCATGCAAGTCATTTTCAACATTCCATATCTCTCTCTGGTCCTGAGCAAAGTGTTCTCGTTTCAAATTGTCAATTTCCCTCTGCTGATCAGGTGTTAGGGACACTTCAGCAATATGTGTCAGGATATTCACCTAAAACAGTAATATGAGAAAAGAATTGATAAGTGCACATAAATTGACAAAATATAAACCCAAAGATTCAAAATGGGACATTTGGATTTAGGGACAAAGAAGAATATTTAACCTTAATATCCTTTATAAGAGATCTAAAATATTAGGGGAATGATGATGGACTATCTATACCAACAGTGACAACCGATAAATCCAAACATCTCATAACTTGCAGCCCCAAGAGGAAAATATACAAAGAACACAATTTTGAGCATACACAAAACTGAGAATGGGTCCAGGTGATGTTCTATTGTCCAACAATGAGCTTACAAAAAAGGCTTGCTATAATGTATGATTTCGTGATTTAAAGCACAGAAAATACAATAAATTCATTGACGAAAAACAAAAGGTCCAAACACAGGTTTGCATGCAAACCAGAATTAACAAGTATAACATTGGACAAAACACATAACATGTAGTCATGTGACTCATGTACCATGTATGCTAATATAGATATAACAATGTATAATCAAATGATGAGACAATCATTCATACTCGGTATTATATACGAAAAATCAAACTTTGTCAAAGAACATATCCAATGGTTGAAGAAAACAGCTAACAGAATTCAGTGCTCCTCCAGGTTGTGGTAACATTTTTTCCAGAGGTTGAATAAATACAAAAGAGCAGCATATATCAGACAATCATAAACAACAATAAAAGGAACAGATGCATTTGGGTATGTGATATTATGATCAAACCAATAATGAATCATTCAATTCTAAAATAAAAATGTAAGAACAAAAAAAAATGCCAAGGAGCTGGAAATTGACAATATCCAAAACTCCAAAGCAACTAAACAAAGTAGAAGAACAACATTTTTGAGGTGGCAATCCATTTATATTTTATACATGTGACTATGCTCCATATATTTGGGAAGCACTTCACAACACTGATGGCACATATCAAAACATACTAGGCAATAAAGAAGACCTTGAAACTAAAGTAGCCTCAAGAAAGAGAATATCAATACAATTAATGTTTTATAACTAATATAATTCCTCACAAAGTAGGATAAGAATGTTAGCGTATCATTGGTATGCTGAGTTTTATAATAAATGGTTTTGTCCACATCACAAATCATGTATCTCATGGAGGCGATGGACTTCTGAGTCCCACACTAGAGGGTGTTTGAGCATTGAATAATAACAGCTTTTAAAATATATTACTTTCTCTATCCCAATAAAAGATTCCACTTTTCCTTTTGAGTTTTTTCTCAAAACGAATTCTTTTTTAAGGAATTGTGTGGTTCGTAGAATTTTTCTCTTCAGCATAAATTTAAACCACACAAGTTCACCTTTCTCAAATAACCGTGCATGGTCAACTGTAGAACTTTTTTAGAAGAACGATGTATTAAGTTGCAGAAATAAAACAGATGACAGCATTGCATCATAGTTAGCAGCTAGAACAAACTAATATGAGATATTCAAGAAAGGCAAGTTACCGCATCAGACATGTCACAATGCAACTTGGTTACAGAATCTCCACGTCCAAGCTCTTGATTTATTCCATAAGCAATATATGTCTTTGGCCCCATGTCTGGCTTTAGACATTCCACAGGCAATTTAGTGGCAAGATTTAATGGTCCAAGTCTAGGATGTGTGTACTCCTTAAATGGTAAAGAATGAAGAAATTCAACACCATGGCGTGGCAATCTTTCTTCAAATTGAGTAGACGGGGGCCAGTCTTTCAGTTTCAATATTTGAGGCCACATATATTCATCAAATCTGCCCTTTGTGTATCCAACAAAGAATTCATGGATATTAATGATTACCTGCATTTGAATAGAACTATATCCTTAATAGCCTATTTAGCAATAGTAGATACACTTCGAACTAAAGAGTGAAAGAGTACACTCATGCATTTTGGTGTGGGACTGTGGGTACTTTTTTATCAACAAAAAATTCAAGTTAAGAAGTATCTTAATTAATAGACAATGATTATAACGTAATAAACAGCACCTTCACATGTATTAATAATATGAACTCTATTAAACCACATAGACAAAACGTACCCATTCTGACTTAATAAACAGAAAATCATGTGTAATAAATATGTGAACTCTATTATACAGCAATTCACAGTATATTGAAGGATTACTCCAGAAAAAAACAATAATTTCTTATTCATTATCCCACATGTTTATTAGGAAACAGGCAATCACAGGATAAAAACATAAGACTCTTTTCAGCAATAACAGAAAAAGGATTCGGTTGAAATTGATTTTATTGTTCCTTTCAAATTTCTGATGCAAAAATTAAGCAAAGTTAACTGAGAAGGCTCCCAGAAAAGAAAGAGAAAATCTCCATGTTTGTTTGATATCCACTAAGTATCCATGCCTTACTAAGAAGGTCACAAAAACTGAGTTACAAACTACACAAACTCAAACACCTTCATCAATAGTAACTGACCTCACACCAATCCAGACATTCTATGGCTGGTACATCCAGATGCTTCCCATGCTTTAGATTGGCTATCTGGCGGAACGCACGCCACATAACAAGTGGCTCCCAGCTTAAGCCAGATCCAGTTTCAAGTGCATTTCTAACTATCACCGGCTCACCCTTCGCCCAGTGCAGCTGAAAATGCCTCAAATCCTCGTGAAGAATATCTTTCGCCTTTGGGGAGTATAGATAGTTGTCATTTGAATCATTTCGAGAAGAAACTTTTACTGACTTCTCGCCATTTAAGTTTTGTTCACCCGTAGTAGTAAAACATGAACAGCATTGTCCTGCATTTGTTATAGTATCCCCAAGATCTAAAGATCCCACAACATCTTCAGCTTTTGTGAGCAGCTCTGAAACCGAATAGCCTAATATAGACTTCAATTTAAGAATGCCTTTACCACAGTTGCAGGAGATGCTTTGATCTTCCATCACCCTCCAATTAGAAGGTGAACATACATTATCCATAGTCTCAGATGAAACTCTTTTTGGCCTTTTTTTTCCACCATGCAAATACTTAAAACCATTGTCAGCATACTCCACCACCACTTTCTCTGTACTTGCCATGAGTTTTCCATTGCGAAGTTCCCAACAACAGGTAAGGCAAAGATCAGAAAAACAGTGTGGGCAGCTCCGATGGAAATCAAAGATAGAGGTTCTGCAAATGTCACTGCAGATAGAAAGAAGATCGTGGAGATGGTGGGAAGTGTAAGTATCACCATCAAATATGTGGAAAAATAAAATTATAGAACTACCCCTACCAGTATACTCGCTCATCAGTGGCACATCTTGCATTCTCTACCAGCAAGTCATCAAGTGGTAAACCTGTTTCCAAGAAAAAGACATGAAGAGTTCATTGTAGCAATGTAGTAGCAAGAATAAATGCTTTTGAACAGCATGCTATTACATTAATATATATTTTCCAATGTATATTGCACATTCTCTTTCAGGTTTTGATAACGACAAAAAGGCCAAATCATTTGAGCATCAAGGCTAAGGACAAGATTGATTCAAGAGCTTCAACCGAGATTATTCCATCCATGAGGAAGGGATATTTGATAACGATTGAAAGATCAATACCGAAGACGTTGAAGACCTCCTGGTTGGGTAGTCTTTTAGATCATAGAGCATTTGTTAAAGGATATGGCATTTCGAGTATCCTTGGTGATTTTTCTTTGATCCCCAACCTTTTCTTAATGATCCTTCTTCATTTCAAGTGTTCAAGTTTTCGGTATACATTTGAATGTTAGTCTTGAACATTGGAATATATGGCAATCTACTGCTCTTAACTTCTGAAAAACTACTCAACATTTGAATGTTGGGGCAATGGGACCTAAACATTCGAATGTTTACAATTTTCAGCTGTAATAAGTGGGTCTCCAACTGTTTAGACCCCTATAACTGTTCTTCTAGGCTCCCAACGTTCACTAAGCATTCCTATCATTATTTTGAGTATCTTGAATGCACTCATATAGAAAAAAACTTCATATATCCAAGCAAGTGGTCATTGTTGATCATATCCCTTTCTTGCTTGAGTTTCATTCTCATTGCTCGAGTCTTTAAGCATTGCTATTGCCACATCCTATAGGAAAATTATATTGCAGAACATCCGCTTTATTGGGAGAGTAATTGTCGCTGCGGTTTGTTTTCTTTCTTTTGAGAGAGGGTGTAAAGTATTGGTGTTGGGACTACGCCTAGTGGTTTGGGTAGAAATCCTATTTGTTTGTGAAATCAAAGCTTAGGTGAAAGAGATCTTGGTGTTCGGACTACGACAAGTAGTGAAATATTGCAACTTGTGTGATCAAGGCATAGGAGGTAGGGTAAGAAGCTTGTGTGACTCAAGTTCTCTAAGGTTTTCCAAACACCGTTAAGTTTGGTGGGTTGGTTAGTGAAGGCTCGATGACTAGAAGTAGGCATTGCAGAACCTATATAAATCGTAGTGTTCTTTATTGCATCTTGGGCGTTTTATACACAAGGGAATTCGAGAAGACAAATCCCGAAAAAAACAATCAAAGTGGGTAACAACTCTATTCACCCCTGTGTGCATTAAGTCTAACAAATTTGACTACATAAACAATAGGATAAGCCGCCATTGGATATTTCACATAAAGCGAAATAACTTTATGAACTATATCGAAGAAAAACTACCATGTATTTTAGCCTCCACTTCCTTCTCTCTCATTTGTTCATCATTTATTTGCTTCAAATATGAAAGAAGTGCCTGCATTATATACTTGGAATATTGAACTTTTTCATCATCACTGACAGCTGGTTTTGGGTCCTTCAGTCTCTACAAAATTAATAATAATTTAGTATACTTTTCTCTAGCAAAATAATCAAATCATGATGGCAGGAGATCTTACTTTGAGTGGAACATCTAACCGCAGGCATGCTTTACAATTGCAATTTTCACGACAAACTGGGCAGCATTCAGCAACTTCATCTTCTTTCATATGTGGATACCTGCATATCAAAAACATAAGAACTACTTAAGAAAACAATAAAAGATCGAGCAGAATAGACATCTATAATGGGATAGAATTTTTTATAACCAACAGCAAAAAGAATTCAATTATTCTTCACATTCACACGCACACACACACACACATATATAGGGAAATTGTAATGTCACACCAACAAAAATGACACCGATTACACACCAGCAAAAATGATCCCCCCCCATCAATTTCACCCCGACCCAACCCCAGCCCCCCNTATATCCAAACAATAATCAATATAAAATACTCACCCCTGCCACTCTTTTTCCCCATGTTTACTCCTGCTAATTTTGTACCATGAGTCCATACCACAAGTGATATACTGTAATTTGTGTGACTCAAATCAACTCATACTTTACAAATTCAATATCATCACAGATTTCATTTGTCCAAAATTTGTCTCAAATGAGGGAATAAAACAAAAAGCTGGTGCAATTGGGTAAACATACCAAGTGGTTAAACAAGGGATACAATATCTCTTTCTTCTACAATTTTGGCAACGCACAACACGACCTTTATCATTCCTCTGGCATTGATGGCACATAACAGACTGCTCCGCAATCCACTGGAAACAAAATTACAATTACAATCATGTAAGAAAGCCAACCATTTTTGCAACAAGTGACAAGAAAAGAAAAAAAAAAATTACTTTTGGATCATGCTTGTTAATCTTTCCTTGCATTTCTTGTTTTCTATGCCTGAGTCCATACTGTTGGTCTTCTACATCTTTAGAATCACTGTCCAAATGACCACACTTCTTTCTACCTCCCTTATGTGTGTTTTTCTCGTCTTCCTCCTTTGAGGGGGTTCCCTTTTTGTCACCTTCATCTGATTCACAATCCTTAGCTTCACTTATATTTCCTTCTTCCTCAATATCTTTTGCTGCACTTTCATCATGTTTATTAGGTTCACCATCCACCAGGCCTTTGCTTTTTGAGGCCGTGGTTTTCGTCCTGTTCTTTGAACGTCTTTTTTTTCGAGAAACCCCGTCATCAAATTCTTCTTCGTCCCCAGACACGTCTATATAAGATACCTTAGAAGTAGCTCTACGTGTTCTCTTGTGAGAGGCGTCATTCTCTTTCACACTAGCAGAGTCGAGCTGGTTATCTTCGTCAAGTATTTCCTCGTCCTTACTCGGCTCATCTTTTTCTTCTTTAACTTTGGGTTGAGTTGTCTGTTCATCTGTCGAATATTCAATTTCTTCTACTTCTTTTTTCACCGTGTTCTCTTTCTTCGATTTTGAGGGCGGATTGCTTAATTTTCTCTTTCCCAGGTTAATCGACTTCATCTTTGTTTGCGCTAGAGCAGGTTTCTCTTCTCGTTCCTTTACATCATCGTTAATGGAATCCTCGCCGGCCGCAATCTCCCCTGTGACGCCGTAGGTTTCCGTCTCCGCTTCTCTCGGCCGTTTCATTGGATCCGCCATGCCAATCGAACGGTTAACCAACCGATTCGAGAGTGTAAAGACGATTTTTGTTTCACACAGAGAAGAAGTGAGTGAGTTTCATAATGAGCAACTCCGATGAGTGATAGAGAGACCGTCTTTTATATTGATTCGTTAGGGTTATTTTGGCGGCTAATTTTGGGGTAAATTTCACTCCCATTTCCAACCTTCCCTGTTTACAATAGCAGCAGGAAAAGTTTCCCGCTCTTATGCTATACGAAGACGACGTCGGTTTGAGTTTGCGTATTAAAAAACCGCAGCCCAAGTTGTAACCACCCACTAAAGCCCATCCTAGGGTAAGAATCAATCTGGTGTAGCGTTGCAAATGGCGATGGACGGAATAGATCGGAAGGAAGCAGAGAAGACCGAATATCATCAATTTCTTCATACTTTTTTTTAGTAATTAAGAGTTCAATTCACCTTCTCTTATATATCTCCATATCAATTTCATGTTAATTAGTATATTATTAAATGGAATCAAATAATCGAATCTGCAGGTTGAAACCCAAGATGCAGTAGAAATACATGGAAAAATTACTAAAAAATGTAACACACTTTTGTTATTTCTATTTAGGAAGAAGGTAACACACTTTTTTTTATTTCTATTTAAATTTCTTTATATCTATAGTAGTATTTTAAGTTTTTTTTATATGAATGGAGGTAGGCGTCCATGGCGACGAGGGTGGTAGGACGGATGGTCAGGGTTTCAAGCGATGATAATGCGGGGCGATTTGTGCTTTTAATCATCTTCCAAGGTATCGTCTACAATTTCGTGATTATTTTCTAGAGTTGGGAGAGAAATTTTCAGCCCAAAATTACAGAAGTTATTCACACAAAGGTCAAGGCAGTTTGTAGTGTGTTTTCTGCCTTTTCTATTTTGTTTTAGTTGTATTGTGTTGTTTTTCACCTTCTGTAAGTTTTCTTCAAGGTCTCAGGCTAATCCCGTCCCTTTTAATTTTCAAATTTGCACCAGCAAATAGGAGTCACCATTTGTTCGATGAGATGTCTTTGTGAGTCCTATGAACTGAATTTCAACATGTTAGGTTGAACAAAAAACCATCGTAACCCGTTTATGCTCCTCATCTGTTTAGCGTATGTATGACATTTCCTTCCATTTCAAGCACTTCCTTTCACAGTCTCGCCGACAACAAATAATGGTGTCTTATTTAGTTGTTAACATGGAAACTGAACCATGATCATCAAGAGGGAACACCATATTGCTGGGTAATATTCAAACCTCAATCTCCGTTATCAAAATCAAGCAAGGAAGGCATATGATCCTTGAAGTCACGTTCCAAAGAGACCACACATTAGTGTGTGGAAGGTTGGAGAGCATCACCCAGCCATGGAAACACCCCCGTACACACTTCCCGAGAAACACAGGAATCCCCATATAAAAGCAAAAAATATGCTTCTACTTCATCTGAAAGTGTCCATAACATTATTATTTTTCCACGCTTAATCAATGCAGATTAACTGTAGAACACAAACAGCACATAAACCAATAAATGATGCCTACGACCTCAAGTCCTCAACCAACGACCTCAAGTCCTCAACATAGCAGACCTTTGTAATTTTTTTATTCTGTTATATCGCTAAGTTTCCAAGAATATAATATTTTCTAGGAATTTAACTTTTTTTAGAAGTTTTATGAAATGAATATGACCTTATAAAAGAATGGCTTTACGATGTTATATTGTGAGATGTATAGGATTTCAGAAGACTTGAGCTACCCAGAGCTTTGATCCTCTAAATATTTAAAGCCAGTATTCTTGAGAAGTTCTTTAATTTTGTAGGTTGCACGCCTGCAAATTCTTTTATTTGATTTGATTCACAGATAGGGGTGGGCAAAAAAATCGAACTAGCATGGTACCATATCGAACTGTAATGGTACTGAACCGTTTATAGTATTTTCAAGCGGGATTGATTTTTTCATCACGAACCGAAACCGAACCGATACCAAATGGGGCGAGACCGTGATACAAATATTTCAAACCGATTATCACGGACCGAACCGTCCAACGCTATATACAGAGTTTGTCGGAATACGTATCTCAAATAATTATGGAGTATTTATTTACTTCATCTTACCGTGTTTAGAGTACTTCGTATTTTATTATTCATTTTTAAACTCTCTCATTATTATTGTTGTTATTATATTTATCATTACTATTGGCATTATTTTTCTATAGTTATTAGTATTCTGGTATTATATGAATTGGAAAAAAAATTATTTTTTAGATTTGGACTCGTTATCTTTTATTCTTTATGTTTATGATCCGTTTAAACTTGAAATCAATACTTTTATTTAATATTCTTGTGCTTTTTTATTCAAATTTATACATTAAATTCAATATTCTTTAAATAATGTACGTTCATTTTTTTGGCACGGTTTGAGCATGAGTATGGTATTATACCGTTCCGTTTCAAAACGGAATGGTACCGAATGGTTTTGGAGTTCATCTCGTACTGATACCGAACCGTTTAAATAATAGTGGTCCGTGATAGATTCCGGTAGTATCACGGACCATCACGGACCGTGCCCACCCCTATTCACAGAGTTCATAAATGAAGGGAATATTACAAGGTTTTAATCATGGATTATCATATTCATCGTCTGCATTTAAACTCTTTATTTAGTCAGGTTTGCTTCTTGGAAAATATATTTCTAGATATTTGTTTACACTATTTTGTTTGTTTTGGATTTTGGTTGTTCATTTGTGTGTTAGAATAATTTTTGTGCTAAGATGACAAATATGAAAATATGCCCTTACACATGCTATGATGGAAACTATTTCGACAGCAACAAAATATATTAGTGTTCATTTATAGTTCTATCTTTCTACGAAAATAATCTATTGGGTCGTGTCATTTATAAGTACATCAACTCTAAAGACTCTAAGCATTTTTTTAGTTCTTGGACATTAGTTTTTGGAGGGGCCAGCTTCGGAAGCAGAATCATCCTTCCAAGCAATCAAGGGAATTTACATATTAAGATTATATATGTTGGCTTTTGGATTTTAAGTAGGTTTTTGGTTTATGTTTTTTAATATGATCGGGGGGGGGGGGGGGTT